AATCTGCAATGTTGTTGTTCTTAGCATCTTGCCTTCAGTCACTTCCCCATCATCTTAATATAGCTTCCTTTTGCCTTTCTTGAAATACTTTCATGGTAATTGCTTGGATGAACTTTCTCCTATGAATTTAAGTGCATTACTAGATTGACAGCAAGGTCTCATCATTTTACAGTTGAAAGGGCTAGATGTAACTGTAACAGTTTCTTCTATTGCACATTTTGCTTGTGGAACTCTCTTCTGGCTTCTTGCTTTCCAGTCAACTTTGATCTTCAAAAATTTAAATGCAATGTCAATTGTTATCTTCTGTCGTCTTAATTCTTGTTCTTTTATTGCTCTCTCTCTCTCTCTTTAATGATGTTTTCTTTTCTCTCATATTCTCAGTAACCCTATCGTTTTTATTGCTTTGCTCCAGGTGAAATGATTTTAAAAAAAAAAGAAACAGGCTCTCATAAAGAAATATATACAAATTTTGAAGCTTTCTCAAGAAATAATTCAAGCAACTCTAACCAACTCTGTCTAATTTAAATAATGCATATGAAGACAGTATTTATTATAAATGCATGTTCTTAAGATTTTTTTTCATCACATGTTTTCAAATTGATGTCCATTAAGATCCAGACATTAGTGACAAAATGACACATTGAAATCACAAACAGCAATCAACATTTTGATCAGTTTTTTGGACTTCTCTGAAAACTTTCCTCACCTTTTTTTGCTTCAACAGGTTTATTGATATCTGTGGTCTTACAGGAGGTTTCTTGCGCATATCGTGTACAGTACCATCGGCTTCTCTAGTTAATCAGAGTGTAAGCAGTCTGAATGAAACTCTCTTTGAACTTCAATGACATTTTTGCACTTTCAGTAGCATTTTAGGATGAACTTTAAACCTGAATGGCATTAATAATATTAATCAGTAAATATGAAAAGAAAGCAAGATGACTTGAGCTATACACTATAAAAGTGTATACATTTTTAAACACCCTCTCTGTATATATATGTGTGTGTGTGTGTGTATATATATATATATATATATATATACACACACAAGTTTGGTTAAACACTAGTGAAAGTTCTTTAATGATTTTTTTCTACATTTCAGATCATATTGATACATACTTAGATATAGAAAAATAAATTTACAAAACTCCTTAAAGAACTTTGTCTTTAACCAAATAAAGATTACTATCTATATGACTGGCTACTATTTGTTTCAGAGTATACCTGTCTGCCCTGACAATTGGCCAATACTTATTGCAGAAGCTTGCTCAATCCATAGAGCCAACTGAGCAGACCATAGTTAGAGTTTCTGAGAGACAGTGCATAATCTTATATGCTCAATTATTTTGAACAAAGCCACTAATCCTTGGTCATGATGACTTTTTACTTTATACTAAAACAATCATCAACAGCTTCTAAATGATTCCAACTATCCAATTTCACTCACAGGGCTTGGATCCAGGCACTTTAGAAAGGTGCTGTGTGTTTGGTTCATCTCCCCTTACTGATAACATCAAGAAATCACCTCCCTGACAAATCAATCATGGTGAGATTAATACCTGGAATGGTTGGTTGCTCATTTCTGAGCCAATCCCTGTTGAAGACACCCACAAATATACATTTGTATTTCTTAAACAGCTACAGTACAACTGTGCTGAGCAGACCACACTCTCTGTATAATGGTAAATAGTAGCAAGAAAGATTATCTGAGTGTCTGTCTCTAAGTATATATTGTATGGAGTGATGGCTGTAGAGTTGCTGGCACCCTGGGCAAGCTTGAACATCAGTGCCCTTACAAGTATAATTTTTTTAAATTTTCACAAGGAGAAAAACTGAAAATGTAGAATAACAAGTTTATTACAATATACAACTTAATACAAGCTAAAGAAAATGTTCACTATCCTACCTAAAGCATTTTTTTCTCGCCTTTCGATCTTCAAGTCTTTTCATGGCACTTTCTACACCTATCTTCTTTACAAAATCATTTTCTATTGACAAAATAGCCAAAGAATTTAACCTTAAAGTCATGGACAATTGCAAATATGTTTTTATAAGCTATAGTTTTGGGAGATCCCAATCACATGATATGGCAGCAGAATGGTACCCTGGGTGACTGCCCAAGTTGCCAGTACCTTGAGCTGGCTCTGCTGTGGAGACATTTTTGTCATTCTTGTTGAACCTTAAAATTTCCTTCAAGTGACTGGCATATAAAATCCATTCAATTTCTCAAACAATTCTAACAAAAGGCAAACAGCCACCTGGATTAATAGAGTGGATTAAAGTGCTGGTTCGTGAATTTGGTAACATAGTAATGATGAGTTAGTTCCCTGAGCAGTACATATTTGGTCTTTGTGGAAATGCTAATTGAGCAGTATTAAAAATAAGAACTAAACAAGATATCCCTAAACATAAATAAAGATTAAATAAAGGGTTCAGTTTGAACTTCCCTGTTGATTACTCAGATCGAAAAGGACCTGATGAAGGCTAGATGGTACAATGGCTGACATGTTACAATAACAACAAACTTGAGGATAATAGTTTAAATAAGCAGTTTTCAGTCTGGGATGTGTCATCCTACTTTTATGACAATTTAAAAAGCCAATATAAATGTGTGCTAATCAACAGATTCCTGTAAAATTTAATACAAGCTAAAGAAAATTATCCTACCTAAAGCATTTTTTTTCTAGCCTTTAAATCTTCAAATCTTTTCATGGCACTTTCTACACCTATCTTCTTTACATGATCATTTTCTATTAAAAAAATAGCCAAAGAATTTAATTTGTTTTGATGACTGCAAGTATGTTTTTATAAGCTTTAATTTTGGAAGATCCCAAATGCATGACATGGTGGCATAGTGGTTCCCCAGGCAACTGCCTGGGTTGCCAGTATCTTGGGCCAGCCCTGATTGTTTGTGTATATGTGTTTATACGTAGAGGAAAAAATGTGTGGACTTGCACATTGACTTGTTAGAGCAAATCTTTGTAGCTGAATCTCTGAGTTTCTTTAATATTCCTTTTGATTGCTTCTTGTTTTTTTGCTCTTATTTCAAAAAATAAATTAATAACTTGCAAAAAAGTTCCTCTTTTTAAACACCAAGAACTTCCTGCATTATTACTTTATTGCTGCTGTTAAAGATTTGAATCAAGTGGGAAGGCTCAGAGACACTTGATCCTGCATTTCCTCATCAGCTTGCGGCTATCAAAGCAAAAATAGAAAAAAAAATGAAAACTGTGAAGCCTTATAAGAATTGTATGTGTAGCTGATGACCTGTAGCCCAGCATTAAGAGTATAAACAATATTTTCTAAGGCGATTCAAGATAATTCCAGATCTTTCTATGGCTTTGGATTTTATTTATTTTTTTCAAAAATCTATCCTTTTAACGTTAAACACTCATTCAGTTTTTTCTTTGTCTTTTAAGAACTTTCTTGTAGATTGTTAAATAAAACTGTTGTCTTTACAGTATTTTAACAAGTTTCATTTGTAGTTTAAACCTTGACAGTAACTCTGTAAGTGGACATTTCAACAGTCAGTGTATACCTCCTAGGATGGCTTGTTACTTGATTACAAAAAGGAAACATGTCTTTCATAATAATCATTTTATTCATTCTGTATGTCTGAGAGAAATAATCATTACTTTCTTACTACAAATATAATTTGTTACAATCAATATAAATTTGGTCAGATATTGTGTGTCATGTTTCCTCTGTCCAGCCTAGGGATTGAACTCCCAGTTCACTAACCAACATTTTATCCTCTAGGCTATTCAGTCATCTTGTTTTCTTTTTTCTGTTTAAACTTATATATATATATATAGTAGAACCTCATTTTAATGGACTGCAAGGAGGGATGTCTGTTAAAGCCATTTGTCTGTTAATTGAAAGCACTTTTTCATGGCCTGAAAATACCTAGTCCAGTACAAAATTATTGTAAATAAATGTAAATACTGTATATATGTATGTGCATTTTATTTTTAAGTTACTATATAGTAACTTAAAATAAATTACACACAGATAGGGAGAGAGAGATGCTGTGTATGTTACATACACAACAAGTGTTCAAGTAAACAACAATGCTTATTTCCAGAACTACTAGTCTCTCTGTCCGTTGATTGTGCATGTAATCAACAGTGGACAATTCTGAAACTAACAGACTTTGCTTGCTACGTGTGGGTGTTTTGAGTTTCAGCCGGACACTAGCATTTCTGTGAATTTTGTCTGTTGGTTCCAGGACCCTTAATTCAAGGTTTTACTACATATATATATATATATATATATATATATATATATTTTTATCCTGTTTAGTCAGGTTTATCTTGTTTTATTTTTTCTGTCAAAACTTTATATATATATATATATATATATATATATATATATATATATATAGTGTGACAGAGAGATAGTAGGCTAATGAAAGAAATTCAAGTGATAAAAAAAATAAATAAAAATATAATATTTATTGTATATTAGTAGGCCTTTTGACCAAATAGAAGCATGATGCGAAATGTATGTTTGTTAATCATTTCTCCTCCAAGCATGTTCATTTTCATGTCTTTCTTAATTTCTGCATTTGAAATCCCGTCAACATTTCTGGCTTTGCACATCTGTCTTTCCCTGTATATCTCTATTATTGTGAAATATTTTCCAACTGATCTACAATCTACCCCCCTGGAGAATAATCTTCTTCAGTTGATTAACTAAAAGCTTCAATTTGAATTCTACCCGGATCAACAGACACCAGAAGGAGGTTGGAGGATACAATGTTGTGATAATAACAAAGATGGGGACAATAATCTGAATGTAAATAAAAATTTTAGGTATTTTGCTAACTGCATCAAATTTTTGGTATTTTGGGCTATGAATAAAAATGTCATTACAATCTTGCTAACAAAACCAGGTCATAATGAGAGATGAAAAATAAAAAAAGAATTTTTTAATTAAACCTATTTAAACACTGATTATAATTGTTATTTGCTAAGGTTAGTACTAAACCTACCCAACAGGCTTATGACCATGTCACATTGAAACACTAGTTCTCATATGATCACCAATGTTAAGCAACATCAAGCCTGGTCAGTACTGAGATAGGTGACCACTTGGGAATACCAGCTGCTGTAAGCTTCAAAGTGTGAGTGAAGTGATGGATAATGACTCAGTATTGTAAATTGGAGAGCAGAATTCCAATTCGTTTCAGTTTGTTATATTCAGTTACACACAAATACCTTGAGAAAAGGTATGAATCCACTTCTTCTCTCACCAACTATGGATTAATTATTAGAATGTGTATCAGTAAATCATTATCATCTCCAAAAAATTCTATAAAAATATTTTCTGGCTTCAAATAATCTGCAAAAGGTTGATAAGCCTTAAAATGAAGAAATCAATCAAAAAAACCTACCTAATGAGCTTGTGTAAATAGTTGGCAGAACAGAGATTTAAAGAGATAGCAGAAAGACAAACTTTACTAAGAACTGCAAAGGACAAGAAATTGTGGTGAGCCATGATCGCCTATGTCTTGAAGGGGTACAACACATTGAAGTTTTAACACAAAGCATAAGTATGGGACACATGGTGGGAATTGAACTGACTACTTGTTAGTAATGGTTAACAAGACAAACCATTACTGCTGGCTGGGATTTCCAGTTGATTACAGTTGCTACCACATAGCCTATATAAATGTCAGTATGCTAAAACACTATATTTAAAGCATAGTAATTGTCCCAATAATTACTTTCCTCTCTTTTCCAACTCATTAGCTGGACTTTATATCCAGAAGTGGGCAACGTGACATGTGAGTTAGCAGAGTGCTACTGTGTTCAGAATTCCTCATCAGGAAAAACTGAAGAAATGTTCCGCTTTGCCACCATGCTCTTTGAAATACTTCAGAAGAATAATGAGATCCATCCCACCTCCTATGCAAAGCACAATTTTTGTCTTCAATTCAATTTTGTTGGGTTTGAAGTTTGTACCTTTGTTCTATTGGATTCTTACTTTGTAATTATTACCTCCACATCTAATGTACTTTTCACTGTATCTCCTCATGTGCACTTACTTTGTTTCTTGTCATTAGTTGTCTGTGTAAGCATTAAAATAACCACCGTTAATGACTTTTAAGTGTTACGTGTATGTATACACATCTCTACACTTTTTTTACAGTTCAGTAATTTATATAAACATCCTCATCATTTTTTATTCCGACTCCGAGTGTTTTCTAATAACTCTCAAATTATAGATCTACGCATATAACTATGAAAAGAGGAATGTATTCTTTTATCTGCTTTTTGAATTTCACAACTGATACTATTGTTTTAAGTGATTAAAGAGTTCTCTCCCTTTCTATTTCAATCAAAGAGTTTATATTACATATTTAATTTCTCCTTTTAATTTGGGATGGTGAACAGCCAGTGTTATGAATGTAACTGTTTGGTCTCTGTAAACATTTAATAAGTGTCAGTGAATGTCAAAGGGTGCAGTTTTTTTTTTTTTTTTTCCACAAGGAAGAATGCATAGGGACACATCTGCTTCATATGCCCTTTTGTGTCAGACAGCATTTTGCTAGGTTGCTACTCAGCTGCTCTTTTTAACAAAGGAAAAAAAAAACATTGGTATTTTTTTTAATCATATTACCCCATGCAAAGCAGTAATGCCACTAAAATACATGGGGTTACTGATTGTGAATGAACAAGAAAAAAGAGAAATATTATTAAGGAGTGAAAACTATAAGAGTAATCAAAAAGAGAGAAGATAATGATTGACGTGGTATTTAAATTTTTGAAGATCAAAGTTAACTGAAAAACATGGAACTGTAATAGAGTTCCACAAGCGAGAAGTGCAAGAGAAGAAAATATTAGCATAGAACTTACAGTTACATCTAGCCATTTCAAGTGTAAATTCATGAGACCTTGTTCCAATCTAGTACTTTTTTTTTTTTTAATCATTTCACCCCATACAAAGCAGAAAAGTGACTAACATACTAGGAGTTACAGAGTAAAAGAATAAGAAAAATGAGTTAGAATAATAGAGTAATCATGACATCAATAGATAACAGTTGATTTGATGTGAGTTTTCTACCACTGCTGCCTTCTCAGAGACAGAGTGAAACAGAAAGTATTCTTTTTGGAGTGATTCATGTGACCCCCCCCATATATGTTTTATTTAAGCTCCATATAGTATTGGCCTTTTTACTGCACATTTTATAAAAGTTAGCATTCACTAACAATAAGTGCATTTAAAGGAAGAAAAAAAATGCTATTTGGTGGTTATACAGTTGCTGACAATGAACAATGAATTTCTTTTTTGTTTTAATTCCATGTCCCTTTAGGATGTAGGCAGTCATTGATTTCCACAGATTCCTTTTCTTTTTATCTATGGATCGCTATGACTTCAGCTGCAAAAATAGTGTTTTGTAGCTGAAAACTTGTTTTATTCAATGGTGTCATGCTCCACATTTTTTTTTTGTTACAGTTTCCATGGAAATACATAGGAGGCATTACTTCTGGAGCATTCCTTTTGTGCACTACATTTATATATATATATATATATATATATATGATGCTGTGGATAAATTGTCTAAATTATACAAAAATGAAAATAATATTGACATCTTATTTTAATAGATATATTTACTAAAGTTACACAAAAATATCTTGAAATACTAAAGAGTACATTTATTCAATAAAATCACTATCTGCAGAAAATTGTCTGACATCTATGACTGGGTTCTCCTGCTTGTGTGGCATGGCATGGCACAGAGACCTGTTGCCAGGCATAGGCTCTTCCAACAGCCACCCTCTTGACCCAGGTCAACACTACCTCTTCAAGCCACTTTATGTAGGCTTCTGTGTTGAGTTTCAGGCCCTGTGGGAAGATGAATGGAGACATAACATCGCCATCACTAGTGATCACTCCAAACACCATGATGTTCATTGGATAATTCCTCCAACTCTTTCAAAATCCTCTTCACTGTTCTCAGATTGACACCTAAACACTCTGAAAAGTTTGTGTTGGAACTTCCAGCATGAATTCCAAGCATTACAGTATTTTTGGAAGAGGGAATTGTGCCATAGTGCTCTTTTTCTCACAGATGGTGCCCAACTTGACCCTACTGTACTGTGCAGTTGACAAAGTCAAAAACAAAAAATGTGCATGCACAAAATTAAAAAATATAAAATGGCAACAATTTAACCATTGCACTCTGTATTTACCAAATTTACACAAAAATATCTTGAAATACTAAAAGGTCAATTTATTCAATAAAATTGTCTCTGGCTTTAATCACAACCTCCAGATGATCAGCCAAACTTCAACTAGCTAAACATCTGCCTATTCTCACCAATGGGCTATCATGTGATCCTCACGCCAAGACATCAATCAATTTTTCTTGTCGAAAGGGAGACAATCACCTACATTCCTACAATGGTATTATGCACATGATCTTGTAGAGAGGCAATTTTACACTGTTAAGAGGAAGAAAAGAGACACATGCATGTTGATGAAATAAAAACAACTATAAAAATGGTTGATTATTATAATAAGCAATTCCAAAAACAACCTTCAGGGATAATTGTTTCCAGATATGAATTACAGTAAAGCATGGTATTACAATCCAACATTTTTACACAACAATTTTTTTTTATTTTCTTAAATATCTTAGAGGATAAAAGAGGGCTTCTTGTAAACATTGTATGAGAAAAACGTCTTGAAGCAACAATTAAATGACTTCTTCATGCATGGGCTGAAATTATGAAATCAGCATTAAAAATAATAATTTACTTCCTTGAAACCATCTTTTAAAAGTAAGGAGTTTATTTTGAAGTTTTTAGATGATAGCTTTTTTTCTGTTTATTTTTTATTATGAAGTTATATGGTATGGGGTGCAAGTTCAATTCATATCAGAAGTTATTATGACATTTTCTTGTTGGAGACTGATACATTAATGTGATGAAAAAAAATAAACTGGAGTAAAACTAGCAATAAGGAATATTTGGCAAACTTGGTCTTTCGTGTCTGCAAAAAAACAGTGTGTGAGAAGGATGGTTTTTCTATTGACCCCACTATTATTTTAACCACTTTTACTCCTTGGCAATGTTAGTTGTTTTAAAAAGCAATGATTATAATTGTAATAAAACCTAAACACATGAAAGTGGATTTATGCATTATCTTTGTTTTTAAGAATTTGCAACAAAAATGTGAAACACTATTTAATTATTAGATTGTATATTTACACAATTTCTTATATTGTTTATTGGAAAGGTTGGCAAAACATTGGCTAATTGCCAATTGATTCAAACTTAATCAAATTATAAATAATAAGGATTTACTTATAGTTGGTTCTCATATTTTAATAATTTTGTAAATGTTTATAAATTTATGACTAAAAAATTTTCATGTTTATTTCTTTGTAAATTAATAAATGATAAATATTGTGTTGCATTAGTTTTAATTGAATGTTGTAAATATAAAATTATTCTTGTAAATAAACAATCTGATAGTGTTTAATATTTTTGTTGTCAATCTATAAAATTCACTTTCATTGTATGTTTTGGTTTTATTAAAATTCTAATCATTACTTTTAAAACAATAAACATTGCTGAAAAGTGAAGGTTGTTGAAATAATAGTGGTGTCATGGTAAAAACCGTCCTTTTGACACTCTGGGTTTTCCTTTTTTTTTCTTTTTTTTTTTTATAGGCATGAAAGTTCAAGTTTGCTAAATATTTTCTAACAGTATCCATGATTTCATATTTGGCTATATTTATTAATAACATAGAAATGAAGAAATTTCCCTTAGTGATTTTTAACAGTATCTTCATCCAGTTACCCTTCTCAACCCACACTTTAAATGACATATAGTCCATGACACATAGTCAATTTCAGAAGTCAATTTTTAGACCCCCTTATCCCCACAAAAGGGAAAAGTTAAAGAATACGAGAAAAACTAAAAAAAAAATTAATCATATTTTCCTTCTCTGTCACATTCAATGAAACATGTTTGAAAGAAAGGTTGCTGCCCAAATATATTTTACAAACTGTGGGCAGGTTCCTCACACCAAAACAAGGACAAAAGTTCATATAAACATGTCTGCAAATACTTCATTTTTGAGTTAAGTTTAAAGTAATTT